TATTTCTGGGGCGGTTTAATATTAAAAATAATTGTTATTCATTTTATATTCTAAGAAAAATATAATAGAGCTAATATTATAATAAGATATCAAACTTCAAAAAATAAAATAATATATCAGGTTTTAAAGAAAAAAGGCTGCAATCATCATTCTTCAATTATGTGTTCAACTATTACAAGAATCCCAAAATAATATCAATAACACATATATAATTATTGTATAAATCGTATAGAATTAGTGATTTACACTGAATAAATACTATATTATACTACAATTATAAAGTAGCAACTATATTTTCAAGCACATCAAATAGGTCATAAGAGATGATTTACTAATTAAATCATAGGCGAAATACAACTAAATTCTAATTTATTATTGAATTATTCCAAAAGACTTAAGTCGTTAAAGTAAATCTTTTATTTTCACATGGCCAAAGATTGAAGTCTTCTTTGTATTTGTTTTAATCTTTTTAAGAAGTCTTTAACGATCTATTCTCTTATAACACATAAATTAGACAAAACGCAAAACCACAAAACAGTATATCATCCTGCAATAAACCAGTAATCACCACAGAATCTTTTGACACTTTAAAGCCTAGATTTAACCCATTCCGTAGGTGGTTTAGGATATAGGGTAATCCCTTTGATTAATTAAATTAATATTTGTGAGAAACCACTTATTTAATACCATGAATCCAAAAGAACCCAAAAATTACCTTTTCATGATTGTCTATATTCTTATTTTAAAACAATTTGCTGATATCAGTAGTCAATTTTTGATACAAACAAATTAGAATTTAACAATTTTTCCTAGCTTGAAAATATTTTATTTCATATTTTATAGCCGGAAATGGTTTATACACTGCAATGCGTCTCGTAACTATATGAAACTATATGATACTAATAAAATCATGAACAGTACAAATTACCATTATGATATACTGGTTTTTATTTGCATTGCTATTTGTAAAATAAATTAGAATACGTGTTAACCGTTCAGAAATACGTGCACGTACAACTTATAACTAACTAGTGATTTATAGTATAAAACTTATTTGCTTATTATTTGTCTTCTTTAAGCCAAAAAGTCTACAAAAAATTACGATTAATCCGATTTGAATCTTAAACCAATCAATAATGTATTCTATACAGGTATTGAAAAGATTCATTCGATTATTCGCTTAGAAACACAATCCACATCAACCAAAATCGTGGAATTTCAGAGAAAAATGAGATAAAACAAAAGCTTAACTTTTAATTTCAAAAAATTTCAAATAAAAAGTATTTGGAAATTGTTTTATCAAGGATATAACGATATAAGAATGTTAAACTTTTTTGAAGTTGAAATAGAATCACTTTTACTCTTTTCGTTTAACCTTAAACGTAATTTTAGTCGGTACTTCAAGTCTTTGAGCATAGTTATTGAAAATAACAAAATATTCATCTCAAAAATATATATTTACCGTTGTAAATGTTACGGTAATATGTGCAACATATTATATTATTATTACATATATTATACGTTACATTAATTACGAACATTTCAAATTTTCTACAAGTGATTTTAAGAAAATCATAAGAATCTAAAAAATCCATATTGGTATGATTAAACAATAATGAAGGCATGATTATTTCCTGTAATTGGTATGTATGGAGTTGTATTTCCTGCAATTGTATGAGTTAATTTGCAACAAAGCTCTTGGGTTATTTAAACGCCCTGATCGTCTTTCGAATTAATTGTTATTTAATTAATCATTTACATACCTAAATATAATATATTGTAATATTGTATTGATTCTAATTACTGAAATCATCACCAAATATCGTTGTGGTGTATAAATTGTACGCCGTACGCGTTAATAAATAATAATACTTTTATATGTTAGGAGTTTGAACATAAATGAAATTATATTATATTTGGTAATATTAACAATAACTTATCATGTGCATAAAATGAGAACATCTAATTAATTAGGTAATACAATAATATACATAGAATTGTAACTTCATAATTACTTATTATAAATTATCATTATAGTAAAGTATATAAATGTGAACAATTTCTATAATTACCTATAATTGATACTATAGTACTATACTACAATACAATACTGTTATAATTGTCATGACTCGTGATTGATGATAATTGCTAAACATATTTTTTTTAGTTAATCGCGTCTTGCTATGATAAAAACCACTCAATAATGTTAGATTTCAAATGAATTTATTATAATTTTAACTGATCAATTTAGTAAATGTCACGGTACAAGTATGTTTAAAAAATATTTTATTTGTAAATATTTATTTAAATTTTAAACTTCCTGGGCATAGAGTACAGATGCAAATCAAATTAAAAATCGATGTACAAGTACAACAATATTACTGCATCCTACAATTTATAATGCTGAAATCGTTTATGACTTGTGAACAAAACAGCGCAAAATCAATCGTTTGCATAGATTTATAATTATTACAACAATATAATAATAATTAACAATTGAGACGAGTGGTTTATTAAATAATCCTACGACTACTTAATTTAAGTGGTTTTTATCACAGAGCATTACTTAATGGAGAAAAGATAGTACCTACCTAGTTGTATATACCTCTCTATGTACGCTGTGGGGACGCACTAAAGTTTGGACTGCAGGCGTCCCGAAGGACGTTCGGTCGGGTGTTCTCGTCGTGATAGCTATGTATGTAATAATGTAATATAAAATAGTACACATGCATAGGTTACCTACCGACTACCACGGTTGTGTCGCAGTAACGTGTACACGGGAATAAGCTCGTGTAAATATTATGCATTTTTTTGAGGTGTTTATAATAGAGGAACTCATAAAACAAACACACACACACACACACACACACACACACACACTTATTATACACGATGTTATTATAAATTAAGTAGTGATGTGTAACCACTGCGTTTGTTTCGAGTTACGTAATAATATTTGCGTCCACTGCAATAGGTCGTTGTTATATACGTATACTCGGGTCTGTAGGCAGCACCCCAGCAACACATCGTTTATAATAATATATTTAGAGCACAGCTTTTTAACGAGCGCCAGTGGAATAAAACCGGTAGAAAAACTTCAAAATCAAAATTTGTTCGAAAAATAGTGACAAGACAGCGAGTACTATACACTATAGTTACGCACTGTAGTTCATAACACTATTGATGAAAATATGTTCTAGTATTTAACGGTCTTAAACAATAATTTTCATCATGTTCACTAAGTTTTGTAACAATTTGGTTGGGTCGCCACTCACCAATTCCATATTCTTACGAGGTTGTACTGGTTTGATATCGTCTGTATACTTTTACCAAGTGGACTGCAAAATAAGCTGCTTAAAATGGATACCTTGAATCATACACCATTGAGATTTTTTAATATTTTGTATTGTATTTGTTATTCTTATTACAACGTTTTCGCATATTAAAACAACACTGTAAGCTATTTGGTATATGATCTTAAGCACAATACTTTTTACACCAAAAGGTGTGTAGTACATATTATAATTTCAGTAATTTGACCATTAAAATATAATTATACCAAATGCATCTACGCAAACGCAATTATTTAATTAATTCAAAGTAGCTATAGTGCAATAATGTTATACCCTCGCACAAAACACTTTTTAAAAAGTTTTTCTTCAAATAAAACCGCATCGTAGCTTCAAATAAACTTAAATTCTTAAGTATCACACTCTAAAAATATTTAACTTTTAAAACGTTTAACACTAAAAACTATAATAATTAAATGTATACGTAGGTACCTATGTTCGTAAACTAAAACAGTAGTTATACTAAACTCTTACGTTTAAGTCTCAAATGATGTAATTGAGTAATATAGTTAATTGTAGGTAGGTACATCATAGTTCTTACATAAATTATATATGTCTTGACTCTTGAGTAAATGTCCATAAAAACTTATAAGAAATAAATAATAATACAGACATATAATACACGGGACTCGGGAGTATGTTTATAATTTTAGTTTTAAAATTAAAAATAAAACATAGAATCAAGAAGTAAAATTTAATTTTGAATTGAAAGTTGTTCAGTATATTATATTAGCAACTATGTATAACTAACTGTATGCATTCAAATAACTATTCGTTGGGACGAATTAAATCATTGGACTATTTCAAATAAACTAATATTCTTTTTCAAAATTATTATCTTATCTTGTCTGAGTTGTATGTTTTCATACATTTGTTAAGCAAATAAGAGTAAAATATAATATTATGGGAGCACAACAAAGACAAATTAATATGACATATTATAATAAAAATCTTCATTATTATAATTATTTTTTTTTTTAACAGTTTAATAATTTAAAAATACTTAGTTAATGAAAAAAATTAATTATTTAAAATATTTAATCATTTATAATGTATAAAAAAAGGATTTGTTTTATAATCTTCCAATATTTTTTTTCGTCCCACTATAATTAGTAGTCACGCTCTCGTGTTCCGAGTTTAAATTAGATAAAGTGAGATTATTAATAACTATGTTACCTTATACTATAATCCTCAGTAATAATTCAAAGTAGATATAGAATGATGGCTTAATCACTGCGATCTTTGTCAAACAACTAAATGTTTTGAACTATAAATATTATATTATACATTAAGTATTATGCAACAAATTAATAAATACATCATAATACCATAATAATTTATTACCATTTAAATTATCATAAGAATATAAGGATGTGATGTCTCATTGATGACGATGGTAGCTAAAATACATTAAACTATTAAAGAATTAATTTCGAAATAAATTGCACCACATAATTTATATCAGAAGATAGTGGTGAAAAGAAAATTGTCTCCATCATATCACCACTATAACGTTTATAATATTTTAAGTTCTAACCCCAAATTAAAAAATCAGTATATTATCTAGAAGTTATAAATATGTATTATCTATATTATTATAAGTTATGTTTACTTCTAACTATTTAAGGATATTTAATATGTATGTTTCAGTATGGATTCTGAGTTTCCTAGTATCAGGCAAAGGTGATTTAAGAGATTTGCCAGGCTTCAAAATGTTTGAAAGTTGTATAGAACCACCATCAAAGTGTCCAAACCCAAATATAACTTTCCACTTATATACAAGGTAAAATAAATTTTTGTAACTTACATAAGATTATATTATTGTGTTCTTACAAGTGAGACACAAATTAAATTAAAATTATATTTATCTTGTAAAATTAAATGCAATATTTAAATTATTTACCTGCAGGTGAAAATTACAATATTATCTATACTTAAGTGTTTAAAATATGTATGAACATTGGTTTACTATACAAACAGTAAATGTTTAACATAATATGTTTTCAGCAAAAAAAAAATGTACTTTTGCTTAGACAATTAGCTTGACATAAAGTTTAAATTCCTGGCGTAGAAAAAGGTTATAAATGAATTTAAAATATTTTATTATATTTGAATGTTATTTAATTTATATTATTGAAATTTTAATTGCATAAATTACAATGTTTTCAATAGTTAATGTTTTTTTGTTTTTTGTTAAAAGCTAATATTAAATATAAAGACATTTGTATAGGTTTTAAAAAGGGCCTCTAATTGCTTACATATAAATGAACATAAATAGTATAGGTGATTTCTTTCAATATACTTATCAATCAAATTTAGAAAATAAAAAAAAACAACAACGATATAATACAATTATTTCACTTATACTTAATTTAATGTTTAAATCTAACCAATATAATATTATGTTTTGTTAACCCATGAGAACATTTATAAAATAAGATTTTAATCTTCGAATTTTATAATTTATTTTAAACAACTACAGGAAATACTCTACAATAAAAGTAGTCTGTAAAAAAAATCTACCTCCTACTTTCCAATTTCTATCCTTTTTGCTTTTTTACGGAAATAATTCATTTTGATTTACGACATCAAGTACACGGAACTCATACCATGGAATTTTCGTTATCATAGCGGTTTGGTGAAGCTATTAATTTTCACTATAATAATAAATAAAAAACAATTTTCTACTGAAAATCTGTGTTTTCTATTTACTTTATAGTGTAGAGAGGTTATAACACAAAAGTAGAAACATAAAAAACAGATTTATAAAATAATAACTGCCGCTGAAGTATAAAATTATAGGTCGTTTATAATTATATTTTACAGCATATTATCGATATTGAAAACATTAAAAGTTTAGTAAATATGTAATAAAGTACAACACAAAACAAATATTATTTCAGTGAGCATTTGACACTTGATAGTTTATGTACATTATATATCTAAAATTAGTGACATTTAAACTTGTTTTGAACAATAAAAATATATATCATGAGTGTATGACATCAATAATATATTATATTTAATCGAACGTATCCTAAATTCCTAACTGATTGACTGATCAACGTAGAGCCTAAACCATTTAGCTAGAGACTTGAAATTTTAAAGGTATCTTTGTACCACCATAAAAAGGTATACTAAGAAAGGATTTTCCAAACTTGACACTTACTTGACTTAAAAAATATGCTCACACAAGAATTTTGAGATTCACGTTGAAAATCGAAATTTTTTTCGTTTATAGATGGTTGCTATTGGTTTTAGATTATAATAGTAATTAGTAATAGTAAAATTAGTAGACATTTTTTTTCGATTATAAATGGTTTCAATTGAATACTCGGGTAGATAAGGTAAAAGGTATCATATCATCTGCACGTTTACATGACCTCGATTAAAATTGCTCAAAAACTACTAAATTGATTTTGAGAAAAATCTCGGAGATTATTGTAGAGACATCAGAAAAGTTTAGGGGGTAGTTTGAACCATGTGAAAAATACACCAAGCCCTAAGTTCAACCCGTAATTTGAGGGTGGCCCATATGGTCTAAAGTCTAAACTAAAGTCACCAAGATACATGATACACCTATTTAGAGCTGTATTATATATTTTTCATTTTTTCCAGGGTGCAGTAGGGTTATGCTATATACAGCTTATACAGCTAGTAATAATATATAATGTTATAATCACGTAAATACCATTATACTATTACTGTTTGTAAGACATCGCATAACTAATGTTTCTTTTCTACATTTCTAGCGAATAATATAATTTGCTATCATTGATATTGTATTATGAAACAAGACTAAGGTCTACCAACTGTTATATGTAATATGTATTAATGAGCTTATGTATTACATAGGTATGCATAAAGCATAAATATTATATATTTCCTATATAATCCTATTTATATATATATATATATAATTTAGGGTGGCACTTCGTCATATAGATATAATTTTTTTTTTAGTCTTACCCCCTAAATTGGTTGAAATATATGTACAAATTAAGTATACAAAATTTCATGTCGATCGGTTAAGTTTAACCCTTGCCCCCAGCCCCTAAAGTTCAAAAACAAATTTTTGTTCAAATAACCATGGTTCTTTAAAATCTTTCATAGTTTCTAGTTGTAATTGTTTTATATAAAAATATATGTACAATATTATTTATAGTAAATTAAATTTTCTTTAACTCTTATTTGTTTATTATAAACAGTTGTTTGACTAACGTAATATTTTTTATTATAATCGGTATGAAACATACAAATTTATATCAAATTTTGATAACAATCAAACAAGATTACAAAATATCTAACATGATATTATTCATAACTATATATTATATATATATATATTGTTACTTATTATAGCTAGTGACGAATAAAAATATCTACACCTAATACAGTAATACCTATCTATTTGCTTGGATTAAACAAAAATAATTTTATAAATAATATACAAACAGTGTAAGTAGATACATTATTTATTCAAATATAATTTTTTTTTAGTAATAGACCACACAATTCTGATTCACATCCGTCTATAATCGATAAAAAAAACACTTTCTATTGTGTACATGTGTTAGTTATATTTATGTAACACAATATTAACAATTTATTAATTTATACAGCACCATCGCATAATAATGTAGTACAGCTGATACAATACGCAATGAAACACAAACGAATAACGATATACATTATGTATGTTGGGCTTAACAGATGTCTCGTTAAGAAAGAAAAATATCCCGAAAATTGGTTTTCCTGTTCACTACTTCTATCTTTATTGACGTAGGTATCCTTACTACCTACACAACTTTTCTCCCGTAAAAGCACTGAATTGTCGAATACGCAGAACACCGTGTAGACGAGTAAAATAGTAAATCAGTTTATGAATTGCTAGCAACTCGAACACACACTAACTCACTTTACCATACCTTTATACTCACAGGCGCTGATCCACGAAAAAGGAAGGGGGAGGGGGTATATGGAGACAATTTTTCAAATTATAGGTACATAAAATTTAATTTCCATTATCTCAAAATAAATGATTGAATAATATGTTTGAAGTAAACTAAAATTCGTATTTTGCAATTATATTTTATACTTCAATATTTGTATATATAATAGGTAAATCATAATTAATAAGCAGTACAATAACTAAGAAATTAGCAAAGCTAAAAGTTAGAAAAAAAGCAAGTTGAAAGAAGTGGATTTCTTCATTACCTACTTATAAGCAATTTGTTTTATTATGTCATCTATACGACCAAATTTATTTATAAATTATGATTAAATATATTATGAAATTAATGATTTAACTTCAGACCATACCTATCAAGGAAATTTCTTGGATTTTGTAACTTGTGCGCCGAGCCATATTAAAAAATAGGGTCCCCAAAGGACACTCTACACCCCCTCCCCGTCTCAAACGTAGCCTTTGGTCTCCAAATAACTCTCAACGGCAGTTTAGTTGTGTAAAAATTATTAACATATTAGGTACTGTTTTAATATAGTAAAATAATACATTCGTCTCCATAATAACCGAGAAAATTATATTGGTATAATACATTCCTGTGGATAAATAATTAATTATCTTGTCATATCAATCGGAGACCATATAACGAAAAGTTTAAATTATATTACTTACGTTTAAATATTTGTATTTTATTATTATTTTAAAACATCACCACAATTATAGGTTGTCATTCATTAAAACTAAGAAGAAAAAATAGTAGGTACCTATATTGTATATCATTATGTGAAATAAATGCTTCTAGACATTTTAAAGAAGTAGGTAATGCTCAAGCAGTCTCGGCAATGCCGTTGATACCACAAAAAAAAGATATCTCAAAGATAATATGAAATTTCGAAAATAAAATGTTTAACATGCTATTAGAGCATACCGTGATGTCTTGTGCATGATATGTGTATAATCTAACCGAGCTGGTAAATGGAAATAAGCGCACAAGTAATGTAAAAAATATATCATTTCAATGTTCGTAAACTAAAAACCAACAACTCAAACACAAGTGGTTGTTTGACAAATTATGTATTATAATACTATTATTACTCCTTTGCGTTGGGGTATACGCGTGTTGATGAAATTCGCAAAATCAAAATACAGACAAAAAACCATAATTTGAATCGAATTAATAATGTACTACACGTATGAACCAGCTCCCCCGGCCGTCTTTATCCATATCGCCCGAGGCAACATAGGGTCATTTCCATATAAATTTTACTACCCTCTTGCCCGTTCCCGACTAACCTAACCCGATTCATGCCTATGTGCTCACAGGTTAGAACGTTTTTGTTATTATACCTACCTACATGCCACACATATCGGTGTGTGTTGTTGTACGCTCTCTGAATAATGTGCCAAAGAAAGAGAACGCAATATATAGAGAGCCGAAAGAGGAATAAACACAAAGTGGCAAATAAATCCAGGGGCACGCCGCTTACCCCTTTTTTTTGTTTCTCCTCGATTCTGTTCTCCTCGCACGTCCATGATTTGTCAAAGATAAACGTGGCCACGGGTTTCCCGTCGTGTTAGGGAAATGAAACGCTCTCAATGATCCCTTTCTTCGTTTTATTCTCTCCCTTTTTCTCGCATTTTTTTTCTCTACTCGAAGTGGGTTTTTTACTCCATAAAACAACTTTCCTTTCAAAAGAAAGAAACTTACGTAGATTTTATTCCGGGTCAAGTGCAGGAAGCAGACACTGGAGCTTACAAACGATGACGGGTCTCCTTCAATAATAATTTCTATGTAGGTATATACGAGTCAACTTTTA